GAAATTGGAAAAGAACAAGTCGCGAGATCAGGAGGTCACCGAACTGCCGTATCGAGAGCTGGTCGGCGCCCTGACATACTTGGCGACTGCAACTAGACCCGACATCAGCTTCGCAGCGAGCTTCCTTGGCCAGTTCAACAATTGCTATGGCGAGGAACACTGGAGGGCCGCGAAGCGGGTCCTGCGTTACTTGAAGAGGACTATCAATCTGGGATTGGTGTATGGACCAGAATCCGGACCGGTCAACGGATACGTTGACGCAGATTGGGGAAGCAGCTCTGAAGATAGGCGCTCCTACTCGGGATACGTTTTTTTGCTGCACGGGTCTGCGATTTCCTGGGACGCGAGGAGGCAGCGAACGATCGCACTTCCGACAACCGAGTCGGAATACATTGCGTTGGCGGAATACGCCAAGGAATGCGTGCATTTGAAGGGAATCTTAGGAGAGCTCGGTTTCGACGAGCTAGGAAAAATTAAAGTATTTTGCGATAGCCTAAGCGCGATGCGACTGGCGGAAAATCCTACTTTTCACGCGAAAAGCAAACACATTGATATAAGGCACCACTTCATTCGAGACATGCTCAAGCAGAAGCAATTTGATGTAATACACAAATCTACAGAACATCAGATTGCCGATGTATTCACTAAAGGCCTCCCCAGGCCGAAACACGAATGGTGTATTAAAAATTGCGGACTCGGCGCGCCCGTCTAATGATAGTAAAGATCGGCGCGTAGACACATCAACTCGAAGGGGGGTGTTGGTACGACATTGGCAACCAATCATCGTACCGCGATTTTAGGTTGGTAGCGAGCTGATGCGTGCCCCCGCGCGCTCGTAGCGTCTGCGACACTTCGCGTCGTACCACTCATACCTCGTGCACGCTTCACCGCGTTTTATCCAGTTCTGTGTATTCTTATATATTTATATATTAAATTCAGTTCTTAACTATCCACGTGTTATCGGTCTGCGCCTCACTGCCTCCCCCTTAATCCTAACAGTTCCCACTGTTCCATTGTTATGAAAAATACGTTTCGTTGAATGTTCTACTATAAAATACAATTTTGCAAAAAGATTGATCGATATCGGGAAGAATGACGAAAAAAATGTATAATGTCAACCGTCGCGCAAAGTCGCACGCGCTACGAGTTGCTGGCAGTTGCATACTGTTATTATGTGTTTATGTTATATGTATTGATACAATGTAACAGTTTCTTGAAAGCAGTTTCTTTTTCCAAATATGTGCTTTTATAACTTGGGCCATAGTTTATCGTCGATGCATAATGGAATTCAAATTGTTTCAATTTAGCTGCTTTTTAAACATTGTTCCCATCAGTTTGCGATGTTCATAATAATATTTACTGAAACAATTATTTTTCTCTACAAAATGTATATTATAGAAAAATGGAACAATACCGAGAACATTGAAACAAAATTTTTAAACCGTCAATTGCATTTTTAGTAGTCTGCAATTAAGGGATTAATACCTAGCATCAAACTACTGTACGTAACTGAATATTAACATACGTTCATTATTTAATTACTCGCAATAAATAAAATTTTTGTAAGTAAATAACGTGTAAGTAAATTCATATGTAAAAATTTACCAATTGCCGGAAGGTAATTGTTCGTGCGTATTAAGATTTTTACAATAGGCAGTAAAACTATTCATACTCCCATATAAATTATAAATATGTAAATGTTAATAAAAGCGGTGTATATTCTCCCACATGTAGATTTGATAAACTATTTATGAAACTACATTTATTCTGAATTTATCTGTTACAAATATCCAAATGTAAGGCAAGATATAAAAGCGAATAAAGCAAGAATATGTAAAAAGTAACATTACTAAAATGGGGGGAGACTCCTTTGGGGCCAACTCCGAATCGATCGAAGCGCTGATGTAAACAATCAGACGCCAGCGGAAATACAAAATCGATATTTGGGACGGCTTGATAATACGACATCTAACGGCACTACCCACAAATAAATTTTGTTCCCTGTTACCATCAAGTTGGGATTGTGTATTTGCTATGCGAAGACAGTGTTGCCGGACAGTATCAATGTTCTGACGCTGTTGCCTCATGTCCCGCATGCAATTCTGCCCGTGAGGAGAACGATGGAATAGCTACGTCCTACGGCTCGTGGCGAGATTTCGATTCTCGCCGAACGTCCAAGGCCAGCGACCGACCCATCGGCATACAATGTAAACAGACGTAGATGAGATAAGGAATGACGCACGAATGAAAATTTAAACTTTTACGATTTGCAATATATATTAATGAAAATGTCATAAATGAATTGAAGAGATTCTCCCGATTAAAATGCGTCCAAATTCGAGTGCACTTGAACAATTGTTACTCATACGTAATGTTGCGGATGAAAATGAAATATTATTGAAAATAATCCGAATGATGTCGTATTTGGACTCATTTCCACCGACAGAATCTCCTCAGTTCATTCGTGA